GACTACAGTCAGGGCCGACCGGTGTCAGACCAGAGAAACCAGTAACCATCAAAACCACTGCCTGGACAAGCCACTCTAAAATGGGCAATCCTGGCAACAGATGTGTGACCACTAGTTTCGGCTCTCAGGAAAACCCAGTGGCAAGTCAGGCTACTGCCCTAGGGCAACGTATGCCCACAGCTCACCTTAGCAATGGAGATGGTCTGCTGCTCCATTGCCTCGTGGATGGCCACGCGGTCATCCTCCCGCATCTTCTCATCCGAGGTGGGAGAAATGAGGTGGGGAGAGAAAAAGTCACCATCAGACACCTCCATCAGGCTTCAGCTATGCACCCACCAGTGCTGACGCCCAAGGTAAAGCTCTCTGCCCAAGAGCGCAGTACGTAACCAGAATTTCCCTGCAGCCCCATCCCCTGAGCTTCCCCAAAAAAAATACAAGGCAGCCTCAGGAGAGTTGCCCTTTCTCCTTCAGCTCTGAGCTCTCCCAGGAGCAGCTCGCAGCCCAAGGGCTCTCTTCCCCACTCCCGTGCCAACAGCCCTGCAGGTACCTTGTCGAACTCATCGATGCACACCACTCCTCCATCTGCCAGCACCATGGCTCCTCCCTCCATGAAGAAACTCCTGGAGGAAGGGTCACGGATCACGGAGGCCGTCAAGCCGGCAAAAGAGGTGTATACCTAGCGGTGTGTGGGACAAGAGGACAGCATGTCAGCCGTCACAGGACCCAGGAGCCCACTGCCCCAGCTGGAGGGCAAAGCCCCTCCGGCAGTGCAAAATCCAGAGCTGCTGGAGGAACCACAAAGCCTCCCAGCAAAACCCCACAGCACATGCCAAAAGCAGACCTGCTGGGTACAGAGCAAGAGTATTGCCCAGTCCCAGGCCTCAGGCTAAGCAGCTGTGACGCACCGGAAGGCTTGCAGACACACAAATACAGGTATTAAGTACAGAACAGGGAGTGAGTCACTGTTTGGTGGGCTGCTGCATTAGCTTTGTTTTCCCTCCGAGGGAACGACGCAGTCAGAGGCTGAGTTTAATGGAGACTACACGAAAACACGGCTGAAAATATAATTTCATGCCTGGGCTCAGCCTGGAGGTCCGTGCCTGAGATGCAGTCAACTTCGTTTTGTCCTGACCAGCCAGCCTCACCACTGATCAAGTCTCAACAATAAACAACAGCACCAGTCACGCCTTTGGACGTCTGCAAATAGCCTGGCTCACATCATAATGAAAGGCATTACTTGCTTCTCCTTCCCTCCCTCATCCCCTGTCCTGCACCCCATCTCTGGCAAGCTAGCACCAGAAATGGCAGTCTGCACCTCTGCTAGCCAGTCCAGCTGTGGATGGACAGGCAGGTACCTGTTGTGGTCACGGTCTGGTCTTTGGTGCTACACAGGGAGCAGAAAGGAGTCGCACTACAAGTGGGCACCTCAAATCACCTACCCCAATGGGCGAACATTTCTCGACAAACTTCAGCAGCTGGGATTTGGCCGTGCCAGGGTCACCCAGCATCAGTAAGTTGATGTCTCCTCTGCGGGTCAGTCCATCTGGGAGCCTGGAGCCACAGGATGTGGAAAAAGAGAGGAAAGAGAGACGGTGAACATTCATTTTGATAACCGAGCACTGCTGACAAGTGGCAGGTGGTTGGCTGCACCACCAGAAGACTGTATGAGGGCTTTGTGCCAGGCTTGCTTTTCCCCCACCTCTTGCGAGAGCCTCCAAATAAGAGGCAGGCAATGGCCTTCTTGATGTCAGTGCTGCCATAGATGGAGGGCGCGATGCTCTTGGCGATCGTCTCATAGATGTTGGGCATGGCAGCAAGGCGACGAAGTTCCTCCTCTTCTTGAGGAGTCACTGAGCCAGCGAAGCTGTGTCCTGTACAGGGACAGGGAGAATGAAGCAACAGTGAACAAGTGGATGTATTAAAGCAAATTACACTACTCCCCCTCCCCCCCATTACCACCAAAACCCCTTCTTGAAAATCACGCCAGGAACTACCAGGTGGGAAGGGTGAAAAGGGCAGGCATTTGTTATCCCAGCAAGGCAGGTTGGTAGGAAAAAGCAAGGATCATGGGCAAAGCAGCTCTGGAGGAACCAGAGGGAGAATTACGGTCAGGACCATTTTAAATACATAGCTCAATTTTAACCATCAACTTCAGCCCAGATTCTCAGGGGTGGCTTAGCAGATTCCCACTAAGATCAATAAGATAAAAGAACCTAATTATCCTGGAGGACTCGGGCTGAAGCCTCCTTGTTTAAAATTACTGAGAAAAAGTCATACAGGACACCCGAGCATAGAGCATCCAGGGCAAGTTAGACTCCTAGACTGGCTTGAATCTTCTGCTATATAAGCAGCAGAGAAGGACCCAGGCTGTGATTTCAGACAGTCCTTGCTGAGGGACTGCCTTCCTCAGGGACGGGGCTCTCCCAACACCAGGCTACCAACACAGACCAGATGAGCATCACAAGCAGCCCTCACCTGAGCCCTCCACATCCACCTGGATGCCCACCACACGGATGTAAGCACTTCGGATGCCCACACCCACGTTGTCACGGCTCCTGTTCTTGCTCTGGGCAGACTTCTTGATGGAGTAGATGCCCATGATAGTGACTCTGTTCCCTGGAACAACTTTGTCACACAGGTACCTAGGAGGAAGCGAAAAGCAAAGGATGATGGCAGGGGAAAGGATGGCACCAGCAACACCTGCTAGCCCCAAGGGGTGAGGTGGGTAGACCGCACTGGTACCTGTCACAGTACAGCTGCAAGTGCCGGGGCATCTCCCCATGCGGCACGGCATCCGGGGACTCCTGCAGCTTCAGGACCTGGAAGTCCACACACTTGCACTTATCCGGCATGATGAAATAGGGGTCCAGTGGGCACTTCGGGCGGCCGGCTTGTTCTCTGTGCAGAGAGATCAATCAGGGAAGGCTGCTGGCACTCAAGAGCCACCCCTGGAAGCCCCCTTGTAGAGGGGACAGTGGTGACAGAGCCCAGAGTAGCCACCCCTCCAAGCAGTGCCCAGCAGGTGAGAAGGGCAGTCACACAGGGCCAAACCAAAGGCTCACTAAGCCCTCCCTCTTGTTTTCAACAGCTACCAAAACCAGGCACAAGAACGAGCCAAAGACAGGGTGACATTTGCCTGAATACTCGCCCTGCCTCCCCCCTCTCCCCCACTACCTAAAAGCCAGGAGGAAGGTAATTCATTAATTACACAGAAGGTAACAGCACAGACTCAGTGACATGGCAGGGCATTTTTCTTTATAACCTCAGGCATGAAGCAAATGTTAAGTGGTTTCTGGTGAGAAAGCAATTAGCAATGTGACAAGGCTGCCATCAACCTCCTAGTCTCTCGAGACGCATCTGCCTTGCTAGACTACAAGCTCTCTGAGATAAGGAGCACCTCCACGTCCTGCTGCCATCTCAGCACACCACTACTGATGCCTGACTCCACACAGGCAGGGACAGGAATTTCGGTGAGGGTAACACAAGAGTGCAGATGCACTCGTGCAGTCAAGGACCAGGAGCCAGGGGCTGAACGGACCACACGCAACAACAATCCCTATCCCAAAGACCTCTCAAACTCCATGAGAGATAAGGCACAGAAGATAAATACCAGCAGGCACGAGCTCAAAGACACAACCTGCTGGGATCAGTCGGCGTGAGAGCTGCAGCACAGTGGCAGCCTAACACTCCCTGAACGTGTGGGCATCAAGAGCTGTAAAGCATGACTGGAAAGTTAGTAGCAAAGTATCCCTACAGAAGGTAACACAAAACAGCGCTCTGGGGAGGGGGACATAGAAGCAAGAAGTTTGTTTGAAAAAGATAACAACTTCCTGGACTGCATCCAAAGAAGCGTGGCCAGCAGGTCAAGGGAGGTGATTCTGCCCCTCTACTCTGCTCTCATGAGACCCCCACCTGGAGTACTGCATCCAGCTCTGGGGTCCCCAACACAAGAAGGACATGGAGCTGCTGGAGCGAGTCCACAAAGAGGACTGCCACAAAGAGGAGGGCCACAAAGATGATCTGAGGGCTGGAGCACCTCTCCTATGAAGACAGGCTGAGAGTTGGGGTAGTTCAGCCTGGATAAGAGAAGGCTCCGGGAAGACCTTATAGCAGCCTTCCATTACCTAAAGGAGGCCTACAAGAAAGCTGGAGAGAGACTTTTTGCAAGGGCATGCAGTGATAGCACAAGGGGAAATGGCTTTAAACTGAAAGAGGGGAGATTTCGATTAGATCTAAGGAAGAAATTTTTCACTCTGAGGGTGGTGAGGCACTGGAACAGGCCCTGTGGATGCTCCACTCCTGGAGGTGTTCAAGGCCAGGCTAGACGGTGCTTTGAGCAACCTGATCTAGTGGAAGGTGTCACTGCCCATGGCAGGGGGGGATCGAACTAGATGATCTTTAAGGTCCCTTCCAATCCAAACCATTCTATGATTATGGGGCAGCTGGAGGCAGGAACAAACCTTTCGGTACAACAGGCAAAGCACCCTGCAGATAGAACAAACTTCCCAGACACGGCTGCTCAACACTGCTTGTGGCCCTGGTCATGCAGCACCACGACCAGCATGACCACAGATGGGTGGAGCTGAAACCTGCCAGCCACAGGTGCACACAGGTGCAAGGGCGACAAGAAGGGAGGAGGCAGAGAGCAGTGCAGATGCTTCTGCCTTGTGTGACAGGGAGCTGACTCTATGCAGGAGGCATGGGATGGAGGGGCAGCAGGAGGAGGAGGAGCAGCCTTTGATTCCCCACCAGCCCATCACACGCATCCCCATGTCAGTCCTTACGTGTTGCATTTCCTGGGGAGAGCGTAACCCTCCAGGCCTGGGCGCACCGCAATGTTGCTGATGGTGTTGCGGCAGCTGCGGCACTGGATGGCTATTTTGGTGGCTTTGGCTCTCACAGGGGTTGCTGCAATTACGATCCCAGGGATCTTCACAAGGTGGGACATCTGGTCAGACTGAAAGGGAAAAGGTGAATGGAAGGTGAGAAAGCCATCACTTTCTCATGACTGAGATCACTTTCGCATGGATGAGTGGGAAACTCAAGACGTTAAAGAAACACAGTTCTTTCCTAGCTACACTTCCCACATTCGTGTGACTAAGGTACCAGAACAAAAATGCCTGCACTTCTTGACAGTGTCACTCTCTTGCTCTAGAGTGGCAGGGGAAGGTTGCATGACTTAAGCTACACTGATTTCAAAGCAAGAAAGAAAAAGACAAAACACTACATGCAGAACATCACTAATAGCAATAACGTCCCTGCAGCAGG